AAAAGCATCTGAAACCACCCCTTCGCCACGGCTTTAACCCATTGAGTTCTGCTCCAAACGAGCCCCAATTCCTCGGACGTTCGGTGTCAAACGGACGCTCTGGATCCCTATAAAAAAAAGACGATTTGCTAGCATTTTCGACCAATAACCTGCCTCCCAAAAAGCATCTGAAACCACCCCTTCGCCACGTCTTTAACCCATTGAGTTCTGCTCCAAACGAGCCCCAATTCCTCGGACGTTCGGTGTCAAACGGACGCTCTGGATCCCTAGAAAAAAAACAATTTGCTAGCATTTTCCACCACTAACCAGCCTCCCAAAAAGCTTCCACCAACAGCCTGCCAAAAGCTTTCCAGCCTCCCAAAAGCATCTGAAACCACCCCTTCGCCACGGCTTTAACCCATTGAGTTCTGCTCCAAACGATTGAGTTCTGGCGGATCTATCATTATTCCCTGGCGCGCTCCCCCTTGCGTCGGCCGGGGTCGGCGGATATATATATTTAGATGAAAGGGCCGCATATATATATATATGCTTATACAATTCATGTGGAACTCAGAGCTCCAAAGCATTTGTTGGTGACTCACCAGTACAATTCAGAGTCCTTCTTGGGTTCAAGTAATGGTCATTCATCCATCTTTCTCCGTAGTCGGTCCACGTCGTGTTCCATTTGCTTCAGCAAAAGCAGAGACCTGGAGACTTGAGGCCTGAAAAACTTCCAATGCCGACGACCCTTGGAGCAGAGGTCGAAAGGGCGCAGAGGGTCCTAAGCAACGACTGCTACAAGTACCAGCCAGAGAACACGGCTAAACCACATCCCTCGCTTCTCGTGGTGCAGAGGATTGCAGATTGCATTAAGCATAATCTCCTTTTTGTACTAAAGAGTCCTTTGGTTCGATGGAGTGATGTCCTTGTCGCCATGCAGGAAGTGATCTTTTTTTTGGCGTTGGACAGGATCTAGAAAGTTTAGGACGGCTTTGCCAAGAAGCTTGATAGTCATAGATGGTTTGTTCGTTCATCTTCTCCCCAGGTCCCTTGCCTTGCGGTGTTTGTACAGAGTTTGTTCCAAATCTGTACAGCTACAGGATTGCAGTTCCTGGGCACAGCCTGGTCCTTCGAAATGGTGGATGGAGCCCGTGACACGGTGTGCCGCGGCGCCCATCCAGGCGAAGCTCGGTGTGTTCTCTCTGGGCAGAGATCAGACCCACTGAGTGGCCGAACTTGACCCATCGAGTGGGGGAGGGGTGGTTTGGTTTTGCTTGAACAGATGGAAAAGGACTGTGTCTTTTGTAGGAAAACTGAAGAAGTGAGCAATCCTTCTGTGTGCCCTCAGATTGGCCAGTTCTGGGGGTATCTTGAATTGGAAGGATATCATATTCAGTCTTTGTGCTTTTGGGTGTCCTCAAACTGTCAACCTCAATCCGAGGACAATGATCCCAGCTACTTCACTGTGGACTGGGCAGCCAACATCACCGGCTGCATGGCCAAGTGCTTGGGAACTCCGCATTGCACAGGCCAGTGCTGGATGGAGCCGTTTCGGAAAGAGCGAGGCAATCCGTCCAAGAAGCTAGCACTCGCACATTGTTGGTATTATATAGTTATATATATATAGATATGTAAAGCAATTGTCCTAAATCACATCAAGTGACTGACCCGGTCAGAGTTTGTGCTCGTTTTGATCCCATAGTAGAATGGTAGGGTGTCGCAGCTTTTGCCCCAGTGGCGGGCTGTGGCCTTGTGAGTCTGTGGTGTTGCATTTGTAGAGGAAGGGTGTGTGGCTGCACGTCTAGGAGTCTCAAACAGTGCAGCCAAGCGTGGGAATAGAAGCTGATGCATGACCCAATGTTGGTATCCAACCTCCAGCAGTTTGCTTGTTGAAGAATTAGCTTATACTACTAGCTATGTTTTAAACAAATAGTTATATATATAGTTCGTTATATAAGGCATGTCCATGGTGTGGTATCAATACATGGTGTCATCGGAACGTCTACGGCCTACAGTGCTTGACGGTGCTTCATTTGGTCCATGTAGCGAAGGGCTTCCAGGCGGATTGAGACATCTTCGCTGCAGCAGGTCCTGCGTCCTACACATCCAACTGGGCAGCAATGTGCCACCTTTCAGTTGAAAAGCCCTGAGATGTTCACATATTGGCACTAGTGGATGGCGTTTTAAGCCCTAGTGGATGGCTTTGCAGGTGGGCGACTTTGTGTGTCCCAGTTACATGAAGTTACTAACATCTATTTCATGGGAACATCCAAGTTTGGTATTATTAGGCTTCATGCTTGTTCCGGATCCATCTCCACGAGATTTGGCGTTTAGTTGCGCAGGTGTGGAGTATCACGAACGCGGCCGTTGTGAACTGTGGAATCGCAGTATCGAGTCCAGCCTTACTCTGATGCCAGTCATGGAGCTGATCGGATGGGGTCCGGGTGTGGTGGGCTATTGGCAGGACGGTTGCCCTTTTCAAGTGGTGCATGTTCCATCAAGCGGTCCCAGTACCTAATTAGTGTTGGTTTGAGGGATGCAGTGGGTTCTGAGGATGGGAAGAAGATGGAAGATCAACATCCCACTCGTCTCAATAATCTATGACTCCCTTGATCATGTCATGTATCGACATTCATCCCAGTTTCTCTATGACCCAGAAAGGATAGAAGGGCAAACCGCGAACCCGCATCTAAAAATGTATTGGAACCGATCTATTTGGGGACCTCGGAATTGGCCCCGGCCCTATGCCGCTGGGATCCGGCAGATGTCCTCCAACCATGGCTACGTCCCATGATGGACTCATTTTGCTTACGGACTGCAAACCGGACCACTTTGCTGGTGATTTTTGTTTTTTTTTTTTGGTTGCTCACTTCACTTTTTGTCATCAACTTCATATCATTGCTTTTACAATCTTTTACAGCATCATCATTGCATGCAAAACATGGAAAGCATGTTCACAGCAGTGGTATTGTTTTCACATTTTTCACAACATTGTCAGCATGTTCACAACTCGGAACATTTTTGTTGAGACTGGCAAAGCTCTCAAAGCAAGCTGGATAAAGCATTCGACCTTGAGTTTGACTGGGGAAGGGCACGGAGGCAAACAACTTGTGTCCAGAGAGACTCGAATGCCGATTCCAAATGTTTGGGTGATACAATGATGCAGCATGCAGAACGCACTATGTCTACCCTAAACAACCTGAAACTTGGTACTGCACAGTTTCCCACCCGCAAGGTATTTTTTGCACTCAGTGACAGGATGTAAAAGTGAATTAATGGTAGATGAAGAGGCTTGGAGCAAAACCCAAACATTGACGGGCTTCATTGTGTCAAGTTTTTGGGTGTCGACTGATTCTTGTTCCACACACTTGGGATCTATTCTATCTTGTCGTGGAAAGTTCTTGCCATGTTTGCTTCTCCCGTAGTTTTGTGTTTTTCAAAGCTCAGGACTGGCTACCAGTGCCACCGGTTAGTGGAGAAGCCTCTGAACCGATATTGCCACTTTCCAGCTTGCGATGGGTGCCGGTTGGCACAGCCAGGAGAAGGTTGTGACTCAGCTGTGGAAAGCTCAACTCGATTGGTCGTGGGTATAGCCCCAAGGAGTGCAATCCCCGACAAACTGGCCAAATTGGACACAAGTATGCCAAGCGAGTTGCCATAGACTAATGCTGCACCCTTGTTACGTTCTTTTTTTTCCTGAATGGTTACTGAGATGGCCTGTTAGTGGAAAGGTAGCAAGCTTGATCACAAACCTCGCACGTTTACGAGCGCTGTCATGCCCAGATGTTAACAACTGGGCCGGAACTCGGGATCGGCAACGAGAGTTTATGGAGGTCAGACATGAACATATTCTTTTTGGGATGTCCCTGGTCCAAGGTGGGTCATTGCCATTGCTTTTTTGGGATGTCCCTGGTCCAAGGTTTAGTCTTACGTGTTCTTTTGGGGATCAGTTATGAACTAGCCTTTGTCGTTGGAAAGCCAACTGGGATGTGGTCCAAGGGTGACATGGCAACTGTGCTGATGTCCAAACCCGTCAGCCCGTCAGCCAGACCGCAACTTCGTTTTTGGGACGGGAGGTTCTGTCGACGGAGTTTCCACCGAGGTTATGATGATGTGATTTGGGCCATGAATGAAGGCATCTACTCCCATCCAGAGTGGCACCTCGACCATGCGATGTCCCGTTGGAGTAAAGGAAGATAAGGAAGGTGCAAGAAAAACACAAGTGGGAACGTGTCAACATGTGTCAACCACGCAAGCGTAAGAGTATAGTTTTTGCTATGTCATAGTTTCATGGATCAGCGGCTGGTTGATTGCTTTTAGGTAGGGGATGGTAGGCGTTAGTAGCGACTAGCACAAGGGTACACCTACCATGCCAAAATTGCCGCACGTGCAATATATTTGGAGTTCTAAATAAGGATAATAAAGGTACACATGTACAAAGATTGTTTCTTGCAGTTTGACCGAGCGATGTGATGCCGCTGCAGAACATACTGGAGAAGAGAGAAAACTTTGGTTGAGCGTACTTTAGTTGTTTAATCCCCAGCCCTAGGGGTGGGTCATCATTTAGCTGCGCCATCCTTTGAAGGTATCCTGGCCTTACTCCATCCTCAAGCTTTGAAGACTTTCAAAGACACATCTACAAGTTGGGCACCAGCAGATGTACTGAAGCACCATGTCCGACCACAACACACACCTTCACCACGACGAGCGGCGCCACCACCTATACTACCTCCACCACCACCACGACGACCACCACCACGACCACGACCACGACCACGACCACCACCACGACCACAACCACCACCAGTACCAGTACCACCACAACCGTCGCCACGACCACCAGCTGCATGAGTGCCAGCGGTTGCCTCACTTGCCAAGATGTTTGGCACGCAGAAGCCACCGATGCCTGGTCCAGCGCCACCTGTGGGGCCCGAATCGAACAATACAAGAGGGAGGGAAGGACGGATGAGGAGGCTAGAGCTCAGGTGGGCCTTTTCTACACAGCTTGTCTCTTGGATGAATCAATGTGGAGTCGGGGTCGCCGCGCGCACGCGCGCGCCGGGGCGCACGCGCGTCCGGAGGCAACAATCCCATCCGACTCCCACGGATTCCTGCGTCTGGCCCAAGGCCCTTGAGGTGAAGCATGAACAAGATCTAAATGGGGAAGTCAAAGCAGAAGATGTGAAAGATGGAGTCATTTTTCATATTCCATGTGAAAGATGTGAAAGATTGAAGCAGAAGATGTGAAAGACTTGAAGTGTCTCCATTTTCCAGCTTCAGTCATGAGGCCTCATGAGGCGTTAAATGTTGGGGAGATCTTTTCCATGATTCAGTTGAATTGCTCGTGTGTTGTTTGTTTGTATTGTTGTTTTTTTCTGACTACATTGGTCTTGCAAAGCCAAGCTGAAAGAAACAGTGCAAAAGGGCCTGAGTCTGTATATATCATACGTACACAGGCTCAGGTCCGGCAAGCAAATAGGTCCTTCGCCTTCGTTGCAAATGTTTGTGCATGTTTTTCAGGTGAGCCTTGCTGGCCTTGGCCGAAGTACAAGGCATCCAGTGATGAGCGGATCTCTGCAAAGCGGGGCGTGGCGCAACAGAACTTCAGGCTTGGCCTGTGGGGAGGAAGGGCACATGGGAGTGCGTGGGAGGTGCTTTGAAATTGGAGACGATTGATAGAACAGGGATTGGATGAACATCAGCTATTTGGAGGAACAATTGCAAAAGTTTTGTGTATTTGCACAGTCATAGAGGTATGTAGCTAGCTACTAGCCGCTAGCCCTTGTGGGGTGCATGGAAAGATATTAGATAGAAGTTGAGTCTTTCATCATGTCCCATCTACATACCCCAACATTGATGACTATTCCCTGTTGTTATGAAAGTAGGCAGTAGCATTCAATATTGAAGACAGCATTGCCATTTCAATTTCTTCCATGAAGTGAGGTGGTTAACCCGTGGTATGAGATGCTTGATGCCCCCGAAAAGACCGGGAGTCGCACGTGATTTGGTGGGTGGGTGGGTGGAGGGCGGTTCACAGAATCTTGCAGTTTTTAACATTTGAACGGAGTTGTTGGAGTGCGGAATATCAGAACACCACATAAATAGCGCAGGCCGCGAGCTTGTTCGTCTGACACGGCCCATGTTGGGCAGCAAGTCCAAGCGACTAGCGACTCAACAAAACTCACACTTGGAAGCAAACTCAACTTGAACATTTTGATATTCATGCTACATCGTGCTACTATTCGTTACGTTTAGATACTTTTGGCTTCAACATGCTTCAACCGTGCTCAAAATTATTGCAAAGGTTTCCTCAATGATTTCCAGGTCCAGCTGCTTCTCATTATATAAAGATGACAATGCATGCATTCCATTGATTGGTGCCAATTCAACACGTGTTGTTTTGCAGATTGTTCTATGCCTGCAATGTTGATCGTTGCGCCGTTGCGCTGTCTTTAACCAGACTTGGCATTGGTGTGACTGCGCAAGAAAAGAATGCTTGATGATGCTGGTCATTTAGATGGTAAAGTTCTGACATGGTCATTGTTGAGGCTTCATATGTCTCTACTTCTAGATATGCAGCTATCAAAACGTAGGTTGGACATCTCACTTGAAGCCTCAAATCTTTACTTGTTTCAATTTATATACCATGAGGTCCAAAGAGACTCCATCATTCATCCTGTTCCTTTTTTGTGCAGCCTTGTCATGAGGGCTTTGGACATAAGACATATGTTCTCATTTGCTTTAAGACCAGGGAGAAAACACTGTTTTTGGGTGACACTTGAATAGCCCTGAAGGTTAAATGCTCCAAGCCTGTCTACGCTCTCACAACGATTCTCCTGGGGCTATACGTGCCTTGACTGTCAGAGTCTCTTACAAAGCATGGAGTGATGAGCCACAAGGCCGTGGACACATGCATGGACACACGCACACGCATCGAAGGTTCGTCCTCGAAAAGAATCCATCGGTGTGTGGAGTCGAAGTGGCGTGATGAAGCACCGGCGATCGGAGTCGCTGCGAAGGCGGAAGGCGGGCCTTGCAGTCTCACTGGCGTGAGACTCCACTCCGATCTGGGCCAGTTTGATGGATAACTGGTCAGTTTAGATCCTTCTTTGTCGCGCAAAACCTGCCACGAGGTGGCATCATCAGCCCATGGACTGGGAAGGCGGCCCCAGCTTGGCCGAGTGGGAACGACGCCTGGGAGCGAAGGGAAGAGCGGTCGGAAGGAGTGGCGGAACGTTTCACAAAGAAACTGCTTGTTGAACATGTGTGTGTGTGATTGTGTGTGTTTCGCTTTTTGTTGACATTTGTTTAACTAAAGCATTTTCTATCAAGATGTTGCAGATTTACTGTAGACCACTTGCCGTGGCCTTGTGGCATGGTCAGGTCCTAGGATTGAGAAAGAAACACACATTTCCAGTGTTTCACGTCGTGCAGTCGTACCCAGTCGTACCGTGTGCCCACCTTATGTTCGAAGTTTTTCCAACCTTTTTTCGGTCCATCTCGAATCTCGATATGATATGCATCCATTATCCCACTCTCCTATGGCTTGAGTGCCCATAAAAGGCTACACTTTTTTAACCGGATATCCCTGAGTTAAATTTAATTTCTCCAGAACTATAAGGAGGACATGTGGATCAGCAATCCAGCTTCAGATCCAATATGTTCCAGCCAACTGAGTCGGTTGCCCACGTACTTAGTACTGTACAAAGAGATAGTAGGTTCTCCGCTCACAGTGCCAGCAGATCGGTGATTTCTTTGAACAGTCATGACCAGACGAGAATGGAAAGAATCAACCTGTTGAAGACAAAGACCAGCTTCTTGGATCTACAAAGGAACCATGGGCTCCATTTTTTTTTTTGACCAATTGGTAATGACTGCAAATTTGTAATGACTTTTTGTCGGAGAATGATGGACAATGATGGAACCACCACAAGAAAAATCGAGTGTTCTGCCGACCCCAACGACAGGACAGAACACTAGTCGATTGGACGCAACGCTCAGGACATGGGCTCAACTTCATTCCAATGGTTTGGGGTGAGGGCGAAAGTCGATTAGATTTGGCCATCAAGGACGGGTTGCCCGGCTCAACTTCATCGTGACTTGTTTTTTTTTTCCCATATTACATCTACAAATTCTACAGGGACGTCACAGGGAGTATTCACTGAGTATTCTTTGTTTGTTGCACTTCTTTTCACCTCCGAGGTTGCCACAGAACAAGAGAGCCTTGCTGGGGTTCAATGAACCAAATTTTCCTGAGCAGCTTGGACAGGATGCTACATTAGCAAGCTTGGGTGCCAACGCTACATAGCACTACACTTTCAACTTGATCAGGAAGTTTGGTAAAAGGTATGTTTCGCGAAGACTTTATGTAGGACTCACGGTCCGTGGTTGTACAACCCAACAGTGATTCTTTTGAACTCATATTTAATATTCGTACCTGGCAAGATCGCCTGAAGCCCGACGCCTTCATTCGCAAGATTCGCCCGTGTTCGGGACTCTGGAGCAGATCGCAACAATCATCCAGAAACATGACCATTGTTTCATGCCCCTGCTATAGATATAGGAACAGAAACATATAGATTTAATAACAGGATTAGACTCAGGATATGTTTCTGTTCTTTATCATATCTCTTTTGTTCAGAGTCTCATTGTGTAGCAGTGACATAGTTGGGAACCCCAAAGCAGATTTTCCCAGGCCCAACGGCGGCCCTGGCCTGCCCCAAGCACCGCACCCAAAGCGCCCGAAGCGAGGCAAGCAAACCTTTCACCTGCGAGGGCAGCCTCTTTGTGGCCCACGGTCGAGGCTTTGGCCAGGACATCGAATGGTTAGCGATCACGGTGACCAGCTAGGTAGCAGCTGTGGAGATCAGGGTGGTAGGTGTGCTGATGTCGACCTTGGCTTGGGGCTGACGTGTCCGCTGTGTCCGCTGTGGATTGACGTAAGTGATGTCGATGTCAAAACTGGAGAGTCCTGCTTTGAAAAGAAAGGACTATGAAGATCATATCTAGTTGCCCAAGCAATGCTGAAAATGTGGCCCCAAGAATCTGGAGAGTCGGCGGTACAAGCCGCTGGGCCAAGCCCAGATGTTTATTCATCCAACACATGTTTGGAGGTTTCAGCGTTTGACTATGTATTGTATAGAGATGTACAGAGTCTTCACAAGCTGTTCATTGAACAGTAAATGTTGCGAACCTTGTCCAAAACATGTGGGACATGGAATCATTGTGTCTAGTTGTTTTTTCTATATCTAATGTTCACTACTACTCCATAAGCCACTGAGCTTACAGATGGACATGAACAACATGTTCACTAATCCAATGTCCAAGGATCAAGGTTCGCAACAACGGCATGATAGATAACCAATGTTCACTACAATGCCTTGAATGATCCATGGATCGGCAGGAATGCCAGCATCGATTACCTGGTGAGCCCTGCGGTGAACTTCGCAGTGGCTTCGGCAAAGCGGCGATGGCGACCTTCCGCCGTTGTTGGATGCCGTTGTGAAGCGCGATTTCGCGGTCGTGTCGTTGTCAGGTTAGCGGTCGAGTTCAGAGGGTGCCCTGTCCGCCGTTGGTTCGGTTCTTTCGGAGGTCGGCGGACGGACCAAGCTCTACAGAGTTTTGTCTGTAGAAAAAGCATAGCAGAACATTTGTCAGAATCTGCTGAGCAGTTTGTGTGCTTGTGGTTTAGACCCACGTCGAACCTTTCGGCATTGAAACTTGAAGGTTGCTTTGTTCCGAGTCTAAATGCGGGATAAAGAACAATATCAGATTCTTTGGAGTCACTTGATAAAGCTGTGACAATGTGGCAATGGTCACTCATTCCAGTTTGTATTCACACCATCCAGTTCTCTTGATCTTTAACTACAAGATAACTAACTTTGCATGTGTTGTTTCTCCCACTCAGCTAGGCCCCACTGCCGTTTGGAAGTCGACTGAGTCATGTGTCGGGAGCGATTCAGCATTCATCGGACGACCCACGGGCGAGGCCTATGGTCCCATCCAATGGCTGCAGGAGTTCTTTGGAAACTGTACTGGTTGCAGGGTGGCTTGAAGAGCAAGGTAAATGAGTTCTCTCAAGAAAAGGTACACCCTGGAAGACTAACATGGACCCTGAAAACCACTGGTTGGTGGAGGAAAACACTCTTCCAGGGGGCCATTGTCAGGGTCTATGTTAGTTTTCGGGAGTGTACATATGTATGAGAGAGAGATAGAGAGAGAGAGAGAGAGACTTTGTCTCTAGTTGCTCGGGCTTTCAAGGCGGCCCAAAGCTACACAGATGAATGAAAGCAGAAGTTGGATGAAATTGGTGAGTTGATGGAGGAACATGACGCTGAGGTCGATGCTGTGGCATTTCACAGCTATACTTGTGGCTTCCCTGCATGCAGATTTGTAACCTGGGACATCCTGGGAGTCTCACCATCGGCTTTGATTCATCGAAGAAGTCTTCTGGAAGGGGCATGCGGAAGTTGTTCAATTGGCAAATTGAGAATACAGTTGCAAAAAAGTTCTGTTTTGTCCAGTGCCTAGCTAAGCCAACTTGGCAGACTTCAAATTTTCTCCGGTCGGTGGAGATTTTAAAGCGACAAATCCATTTGGGTTGCGAGGCATTGAGTATGTCTAGTCGAGGGTATTTTTGGTCGTCACACGTACTAGAGTGTCACGAGTACAGATCAGGAGTCCATTGCAGGTATTGTCCAGGGTTATGCAACATTAATGCGGTTTTGTTGGAAACATCAGGGTAACTATGGGTACCCCCAGAGAATCACCGGATCTTCAGCTGGCTGGTCCCCCCATTTCTTGACTGAAAGGATGGGTTTCCTGGGAAAAGCAAGCCAAGGGGATGAGTTTCCGGGATGGGTCATGGGCGTCCTTGTTTTCGATTGGGTCGTGTTCCCGAACAGATGTGGATGTTGCCATCGTGCAAAGAGCTAGCAGCGGCTAGCCGTGTGCCAGGGTCACAGTCCAAACGGACGGAAGTTCAGGGGAACGGTACGACTACCGCAGTAGTTCTAATGTCCACATGTGTCCACATGTGTTGCCTGGTTGTGCCTTTGTACAAAGCAGAAGAGGGGATGTACTTGACTTCAAACTAGCATTTGAAGCTGGCATGCTTTATGTCGGTACTTTTGCAATTGTGGAACTAGCATGAACTAGCCACTGCTGCTTGCAGGCTACGGCCGCTATCTGAAGGATCATATTGAGATGTACAAGGTCTTCAAGCTACTTGGGCACGAAAATGCTTCCTGTTCAAGTCAGGAGGTATCCAAGACAGGAGCTGGAGAAGTCTATGATTCCAACGTATGTCGCAGGGGTTGGAGGGGGTTGAACTGAAGTAACAAACATTGTCAAAAACATGTAAATATAGATTTATTGTGGCTTTTGTGCATGTAAGACGGAGTTGCATCCTGGTTTCCTCTTGTTAGCATGCTTGTTTCAAAATGTTTCAATGGGACATAGATCACTGTGACTCTACAACATGCAGGTAGGTGGAAAATTGTTTGCATCCAAGTAAATATCCTCGTCTTCATACCATACCAGTGGATGCGGTTGCAACAATATGTTTCTGTCTTTGATCATGCCCACAGAAAGCCTCACTTTTGAATGCCTGATCCACGTTGGATAGCACCTTTCAACCTTGGAGCACTAACACAATGGATCAGGGCCATGAAGCCCTTCACATTTGTTAGTACCCTCATTCTTCTCTCGCTTCACACTTGATCCCCCAGAACAGCGAGGTCACTAGCACCACAACACAAAACGCACGAAAACGCACCTCCACGACACGCACCCTTCCACTCCACTCGTCGTGCTGGTCGCGCCCCGTCGCACCGGAGGCGCCCCTTGTGGCTGACCGAGTTCGCGTGCTCGGAGGCGGGCTCCCTGGAGCGGCTGAATGCGTTTGGGCAAATGGTGCCTCGGCCACGCCCTACGCCGTCAAGTCAGGTCTGGTGGTTTGAAGAGGGGACGCATGTGTCGTGTGATGTGCCACGATGTGAGATAGTTGGTGATTCAGGGGATGCAAAGGTTGCTCACCTGTTTTTTTGTTTTCGACCTTCGATTTGGATCAGCTGGGTACGTGGGACCGGTCGACGGCCTTAGGCTTATATGCGGGAGGCCGTTCCGTTGCTGGAGTCGGATGAATCCATCGAAATGTACGCTTGGCAGCTTGGAAATGTACGGACGTATTACAGCATTGTCAGTCGCAATGCTGTTGGGTATTATATGGCATTATGTAATACTTGTTTGCTTTGTTGCTTCTTCAATCCAGAACAGACATCAGAAGAATTGGAGCATCCTTCATTGGAGACAATAACATGCTTGTTTTGTCATGGGGATTTGATGTTGTGCATAACATCAAGCCTGCAGCCTGCATGTGGATTTCTTGGTTTGACTTGTATCTCGACCATCATTTGGACCTAGCGGCAATCTTTGGAGTGGACTGGTCATTGTCATGAGAATGGACCAACAATGTGTTGAAAGGTCATTAGACCGTGTTTGGACACAACCGTTTTTTTCACGTTAAACATGCTGTGTTTTTTTTTGTAATACATAAAAGTGGATTCACCATGACTTTCAGGTTTTTACGCCACAATTAAAATCGTTCAACATGAAATCGAGATGTTCGCCAGGCTTGAAGAAGCTTTGGAAGATGTCCTTTCGTATTTGGTTTAAGCAGGGAATGCAGCATCACACTGATGACCAAGTACCCTCACTCGAATTCAAGTGGCCTGTACATGCTGGACTTGCAGATGATTCTTCTTTCCGATCGGCAGACCCGTTTGGTTCCTGGATGTCACCCCTGTTTTTGTTCGCCAAAAATCCACCAGTTGCCAAGCCCAGCGAGTCCCAGTGTTCCTTGATGGGACTCGCTGAGGTTCAACATGTTCGAAGATGATTGGCTCCATCCCATCGTCGATGGGAAGAATGGGGACGCTGGCCTCATCTACAGCACTTCGGCGAGCACTTCTCTGTTGCTCCAAGAGTTTTTTTTGCTGCTATATAATGCTATCTAATGCTTTAATGGCAGTGTTTGCTTGTTTTACTTTGCTCATAGCATAATACATCAGAAGTATAAGTCTTGCATATACGATCTATAAAGTCTATAATATATATATTATATATTATATATGTATATTATATATACAAGCTTTCAGGGGATGAACATTGGAAAATGCAGGCTGAGTTTAAATTGGGATAAACGTCTCAACAGGCTTCAAAGTCAGAGATTTGCAGTGGGACAAATATAGACAAACCGTTGAGGACCTGTGACTGTGATTGAAGCACTCTCGCGATTCCGGTTCGACTCTGATTTTCTGACCAGTTGAGCCATTTTAGATGTTGTACAACACGCAGAGTGAATCTGTGCAGATCGACTGTGATGCGTTTGAACAAGACCAGCAGTGTCCTCGGATGCTCTCACGGACTGTTGATCATGTTGCTTAGAATGGTTATGTTGAATTCGGCTTTCATCTTTCTCAGTCATTGATGTTGCTTTTCCCACAATCCCAAGGTATATAGTAGGAAAAACTAATGCACCCAAACTACCCAAACCATGTCAACCCATTTATTCCACTAAAGCTGGGTTCATGAACGTGATTCCACCAGTAGACAGGGAATCCCTGTGGGATCCGTTACTTCTATGTTGATTCCCTTTCATTATTTCTCGTGATTCCTGATGAGGTCCTTTTAGCCGCCAGTTCTTCTCAACTTCAGGTCGTGAATTAAGATTTACAGTGGTTTCAGAGTAGATGGCACTGGCACCCCTACATGTCTTAGACAGATGGGGGTTCATATAAACCACCGACATTGGGGGATTGTACCATCTGAACCCACTGTAAGTTGGCCAAACTGTCTCAGTCCGATGATGTTCATGTCTCAGAAATGAGTCGAAAAGAGTGGTATTTGGCGCTTGCGAACACACAAGAAGCACTGAGAAGCTCAAAACGCTACCTCGCTCCCCAGCCAAAAACAAGGAAGATGGACATAATTCTGCATGAGTCATGAGTGGAAGAACTATTCAATGGACCTTCGCTCTCCCTTTTGCATTGGAGAAACCAATCGTTGCAAAGGAACATGTTGAATGGTAAATTCCTGCCTTACCCATGTGCTATCCATAGTAACCTGAACTTGTGGTGCGTGGCTAGACTTTCTCCAGGAAACAACATGTGTTGACGCAAGCATTCAGGATGTCTTCTATCAGCTGTTCAACTTTCTGTCACAGTTCAGAAAGTTGTCTTCGAAGCTTTGTTTGAACCGTTCAAGTCTTTAGAACCCTTAACTTCTAAGTCAAGCTTTTCGAAGTCCTTGTAACTTTCAAGTCTTTTACACCCTCAACTTCCACTTTCTTTCGTGTCTTGTTGACTTGATTGCACTTCTTAAAAAAATAGTTGTGAGTTCTTTTCAAGACTTGAAGGCCTATTGAATTCAAATCCTTTCTATTGATGCCCTTGTCCCGAGTCTTCGAACTCATGCGGAATTCTCAGCATGTTGTTCCGGAGGCTTGCTCCTCAAGACATTCCTGCAGGATCAGCTGGACGGTTTTGACATAGATTGACATTTAGGGTGGGAAGGGTCTACGTGTTTTAATTGCAGATAGTTTTTACTCCCTTGGTTTCCAAAGGCCTTTGTTTGAGCTTTCTTTCAAGGGGCCCGTTCGGGTTTCAGTGTTCAGACACGAAGAGAGAAATAAAGGCTGATGTTGCAAACGGTATGCTGAACACAAGCTCTATGAATTGTGTGCTTTACTATCCTGTTGAAATGTCGGTTGAATATAGCAACTTGGTCTTGCACACCAGCTATATTCTATTCATATATATATATATATTAATGATTTCCCAAGACTCTGGTACTTGCATGGCACGTCTCATCATCATCGTCACCAGCAGCAGGAATATTCACTTTTTGAAGTCTATAACTTACATTTCTTACATTAAGAAAAAATAACAATTAACAACATATTTTTCCTACATCATACATCAGATACCCTTCGCCAAGGCATGTTGGTATGGTATCCTGAACTCTGCATTATTAAAGAAAGCCCCAGCCTCGGCTGCGCTGTAAGGTAACGGCACTTTGACCCCATTGGGGGAACTCTACAGCTCCTTCACCGGTGGCTTGTTATGAGAACAGCAGTGTAGGGCTGTGCCAAGATTTGCTGAATTCATCCGCCAGTCTCGAACATCTCACCAGTCTCAAGATGGGCTGAAGGCTTTTTTTAGGCAGTCTGCAGTCGACGTTTGTTTTCCTCGATTGCTTCGCGATGGATTTTGCAGCCCCAAACTTCATGGGTTGTCTGGTCCACAGGCCCTACTCTCTATAGTCCGCCCCCGGTGGCTGCTACTACAACCACCACGACTCCTCCAGCATGTCGTACAGCACAGGCGGCACGGGAGGACCCCCACATGCTCCGGATGTGCATTGAATTGGGGACTAGGATTAGTGCCCGATGTCCATTTCAATCTTCACCCCGGTCCGAAGGTTTTCCATTTCTACTGTAGATGTTGTTTGTTTCTGTAAAAGACATCTAAAGGATTCTAAAGGTTGGTAGTTTCCAGTGTGACTTCGTTTGAAAGCAGATGCAGGCAATATATATTTTTATTTAATACACATGTCAGCTATCAAAGGGATTGGTTTAAGACACTTCCGTATTTTCGCGCCTTGTCTTTCTTCTTGTCTCCCTTTGTCTTCCTTCTTTTGCCTTTCGTCTCCCTTCTTGTTGGTCATTGTGTCCGCCCTGTCTCCCCTCTGCTTCTTTTTGTCTCCGGTTTCGTCCCCTTTGTTTTTCGTCACTGTGTCCGTTTTGTCCCCCTTCCGTTTCGTTTTGTCTCCCTTCTTTGTTCGTCCTGGTTGGTTATTGTGTCCGCCTTGTCTCATTTCTGTCTTCCTTTCTCTCCAGTCTTGTACCCCTTCTTGTTGGTCACCGTGTCCATCTCGTGTTCGTTCTGTATCTTCCTTCTTCTTGGTCATTGTGTCCGTCTTCTCTCGCTTCTGTGTCCTTGTTCTCCCTTCTTGTTTCCCTTCTTGTTGGTCACTGTTCCTGTCTTGTCTCCCTTTTTGCCTTTCGTCTCCCTTGTTGTCTCCCTGCATTGTGTTCGCCTTGTCTTCCTTCTTGTATCCCTTTGTCTCCGTTCAATAGTTAACATAGACCAGTAGCTGAGCTCAAGATTTGCCGTACACAGTATCTAAGTGAAGAGCTAGCTAAGTTCACGAGTTAGCACCGACGGTAGCTAAGTGAAGAGATAGCTAAGTCCACGAGGTAGCGTAGAGCTATGTTCACGAGTTAGCATGGACAAGTAGCTAAGTTCAAGATTTAGAGTAGACAGTAGCTAAGTGAAGAGCTAGCTAAGTCCACACGCGCACGTCCACGAGGTAGCCTAGACCAGTTGCTAAATTCCACTCAGTCGTCGCAGAGACTAGAGACATCCGCGACCAAATACAAGGCAAGGAGTGTGTTTATAAATGTTTCTTCAAACAATGAACCTCTTCTATAGTTTGTATTGTTTGGAGTTTTCCGCCCTTGGCTTTGCCAAGATTGCTCGTATATGTTTACGTGTTTACAATTAATTGCATTATATATGTAAACAATCCATTTGTTGGATTGTACTGGAACACCGCATGAGATTGTTGCACTTGTTTATAGGCCAGTTTGCAGTGTTTCCTTTGTTAACGCCTTGCCTCGTTGATGGATGCTGGTGCACCAGCCCTTCTTCACATGAACAACGCCCAATGGTCCTACTGGGTAACAATTCATTAATCTTTGCCAATGTTGCTAATGATTCCTGGTCCTTTCCCGGTGGTTCACTTACTTGTTCTTCGGGACTACTCTCGGCATGAAGTGGAAGAAAAAGGACCCTTGTCGATTCTGCAGGCAGGGGAAGAGTGCTATGATTCGATCATTTGGGCGATGACTCAGGGTATCGTCACGAATCCTGAATGGTATCCAGGGCTTTCGACAGACTCCCATTTCGAAGACTTCCAGCTTCTTGGACCGATTGGAAGCAACCACTTGAAATTGTGACTTTTGGATTTGCATTGGTGCGTTCGGCACAAACGGAATGTGTGTCCAAAAGCGAACAGTGAAAACAAAACTGAAGTCATCTCATATGTCTCTTACGTTTGCCAGGCATGTTATTTGTGGACACTTGTTGGGCTAACTTTAACATATGTTGAACGTTAGACAAAGGACTTGTTTTTGGCTTTTCAGGAGGCTCAAAACCTCATGAAACCTCCTGAAACCATGTTCAGCAAAAACTAACATACACCAAAATATTTGCACCTCCACTTGGAACGAAACTCCACTACAAATAGAACACAAAGAAGAAAGCAATTGAAGAACCAACCGTCCCCAGACCGAGAATGCACCGTCTCGGTGCACAGATTTGGGGCATCCCGGAGGCAGCTTTGGGACCTGCTGCTTTGGGAAACCAACAGTCACATTTTGTTTCATGTTGAATGTTCTATACTGACCACCAACGCTCTGAGCGCGCAAGTCACCATGTTTATTAGTATGTGGATTGATGCTTTCAATTCGATCCTTCAAGAGCAGGCTTTCAGATTTGGGACAATATTATTTTTTGGAAGTTATTGTTTGCAAACATATTGTTGTTTGGAAGTGAGATCAGGATTGACACGAGGGAACACGTGGTTCACGATTCCACACTGTGGAACTCATGCAACGTTTCCGACATCGACAATCAGAAATCCATGGGCATCGTTGGATCCAACACATCTTGGCAACTGGACAAAACAAATCAAGGCCATGTACAAACTGAAAGAAGTGGCCCTGGTGCATCTACCTACCTACCATGAGGACGGTCTGGTCAGCGGGGGCAAAGCCCCTTTTGCTGAGGAACTTGTTCTATCGAGAGAAGACCAATTATGGGGTTTGCGATGCGCCAGCATGCTCCTCTTGCCACACTGCGGTACGTGGGGAAGAATGCTATGATGATGTGAAGTGGGCCATGGAGACAGGAGGCTTGATCCAAATAGCTTGGTTACGGTGGGTTTCATAGGTGTCGGCACTGGCACCCCCTATCAACCACCTATCTCAACCACGGTGTCCATGGCACTGGCACCACCGAACTTGGGAATTGGTGCCATTTACTCCGAAGCCACTGCTTTTGGGTCCAAGTGTAACGCATCCAGACGCGGGGTCGTGAAACTCTCCCCCACACTCACAGTGCCACAGTGCTCGAGTGCTCGTGCTCGAGTGGTTGTTTAGGGCAGGGCAGGATGGAACCTTTGCCGTACCATTCACGGAGTTGTTTGTGAAGTACAACATGTTTTTTTTCGGGTTAGTGAATATAATCTTCCTTAGTTGTATTTACCACTGATTGAATCGGGCATGTTCACCACCAGTCTTCACCTCCACTGCCTGCTAGCCTGACTCAAGCTGTTCCACCCGACCCATCCTGATCCTGTCCAACGGAACCTTCCAGTGCCAGCTGCAAACTTTGGAGCGAGGATCCTAACTGAAACAATCGCCGGAATGCTGTGTTTTGCAAGGTATCGTGTCAGTCCCGCATGGTTTTTTGATGTTTTTCGTGCCAGCGTTTGGCGTCTGAGAGTCTGGCTGACAAGAGTTCTGAATTTTCATGTCAGAAACTAGCTAGCAAGTCACAACTGAGTTGTCTAATACCTGAACATAGTGATATATCATGATATGTCTAGTATACCCTCCTGCAGAGGACTACATGGACCCCCCAAACTGGGGAAAGCTCTGCAGCAACGTTGCTGCAGGAAGTCTTCAAGCATGTGACGTCCAGGTCTTCTTGTCAGGGTCCATATGAAAAAAACGTCCCAATTTTGAGGGGCGGGGTTTCAACCACGGTGTCACATGATATCACACCCGTGGTCACGGTGGTTTACCACGGTGGAACCATGGCGGTCTGCGGTCTGTCCATCCATGACCGCCACAGACCGCCACAAGGAATCCTCGAGCATCCAGACTGGTATCCGGGCCTCTCCCAGGCGACCGATCTTGGTGTTTTTGTGTTTTTTTTTATTGGTTGACCCTCTCTTTCTTTGCACAAGGGGAATTGGCACAGATGTGTTTCATAAAGTGAACACTGTTGGGAAATCTAAATCTCCAATGTATCAATGTATTGTGAATTTTGTTTGGGAATCTCCTTCTCAGCTGAATCAGCTATCAAAATCTGTTTCAATGTCATGGGCCAAAGCCCAGGGGCCCAGCAGACCTGACATCCAAGCTTTAGGAACATGTTCCTTCAAGGGTAGATGGATAGCATTGGATAGCTCATTTGTCCATCATTGGATAGCATTGGATAGCTCATTGGATAGCTCATCTGTCCATCATGTTCTAGCATTCATGTCGACTACAGATGATCTTGTGAGTCGCCGGTCTTGCCGACCTCTGAACATGACAACAAGTCGTTCAGTGAAAACTCTCTGCCGAGCAAACTCTCCTCAGGAGAGCAGCTTCCACGAGGTTCAACGATTTCTTTGGGAGAAGGTCCATGATAGTACCGGTCATTGCCACGAGCCGTGCCCACCCGATTGCACCAGCACTGGCAACTGTGAGGCCGGGCCGGAGTTCACAGCAACGTTTACTGGTTTACTGTACAGTCTGAGAGTATATATTTAGGCTTACATAGCAAAGCTGGTTGGGCTGCCACCACTCCCTTGCAGTGGGTTGCATTGGGTTAATGTGAAATCTGAGGATATAGACATATCCAAGTTATCTAAGTGTAGTGGCCGGAACGGAAGCTGCATCATTGAGGTAAATACAGGTAGTGACTTACATGTTGAAAGACTGCAGCATATTGCGTCACAGTTTCTTTGCAATCAGCAATATGGCGGGGAGATCTCCTCTCCAGGTTTGTTTGGCTTTCGTTGTTAGCTCTGTTTTCGCATGGTGCAACCCAGTTGTCCAGCGCCTCAGGCTATGGGAGTCAATGTGTTTGGCTTCGATGGCTTTGACAATGCCGACGCAGTGAAGCGTGCAGTGCCTTGCTGTCCAGTTCTTGCGCGGAATCGTACCAGGTTACCAGTACAGTAGACATGACATATCTATCAGATATGATTCTCCGTTTGAAGTGGCAACTTTATCTCCCAACACGTTTGAAGTGGCAACTCTCCCAGAACACCAAACGTCAGATCTCCGGTGGAGACCCCCTGGTCGCAGGTCCGTGTGCTCTTCCAGAAAGGTGTCCGGCACTTCCGCGTGGTGAACGTGGGCGCCTGGGCCAGCGATGCACTGCTGGCCATCGAGGAGATGGCCAAGCTCGAGGCCGAGCGATCAGGAAGACCTTCCGCAGCTTCAGTGGCTTGAAGAGGAGAACGTGGTTTGTGGGAGGGGATACTATAAGGATCTATAAGGGGAATATAGGGCCTATTGGGGGTTTTATTTGGATTTTTTGGGGGAGAGTACATCCCTCATTTGGCCTGCAATGTGGGATGTAGATGGATGTACTGTGGTTGTCTTCGACCATTTCAATATGGTTGGCAAACAACATTATTACTATTACGCATCATCAAACCAACATAATGATGGTCAAAGGGGCAGTGCGGGCTTCGTGCTGTCGGCTTGTGAGCCACTGCGATGCTTTTGAGCATGGCCGAGGTGGGTCAGGGGGAGCAAAGGATTTGTCAGTTCTTGATTCATATGCTGATGCTGCAAATCAGTTGAGGTTTGTACCTGTTGTGAGGTCCAGATTACCAGCCTCTTCTTCGACTCTCCTAGCATCCCGGCTGAGCAGAAAAAAAAGAATCCAGGGGATACCCCCCAGTGAACAACTAATAGGTATGCAACCAGTACCAAATCAACCCCTCTGTTTGTCCCCAAAGGACATCATTCTAACAATCAACACTCAGAGATTTGTGGTCATGTCACCAGCTCACTTTTGAATTGCTCCCAGCTTCGCGATCTGTGACCGGAAGATGTTCAAAGCCGAAGGTTTCAGCAGATTCCGACCAGATTGCAATTTCCCATCAATTCCCTGGGATGGGCCATAGTTGGGAGCTTCCAACAATTCTCATCTTTGAACAATTCACAAGTGGTGGTTCAGAAATCTGAGTCCCATGACCTGTCAAGGCCAACCTGTCAACTGCCGAAGCGGATCAAAGAGCTTAGTTAAGACGAGTACTCGCTTCTTCAGACGTGCAAGGTCGGAACTGGTACCCAGACCATCCGTTTGGCACCAATGAACCACCCGGACGCACTACGAATGTTGGACACCAAGGAAAGCATCCTGAGGATTGAGGGCGTTGTGGTGGTGTGTGTTTAATGATTCTTCATGGGTGCTCATTGCTACTTTTCATGTCCAAGGACATCCCCGGTGTCCACTGCAGGTAGCTGTGCTAGCTTGCCATCCTGGATGGACTTCTCTCTTTCCATGACCTTGGAAAAGCTTAAGCAGCTCGTGCATGTGAGCCGCATCCTCCTACAGCTGGACACTTGTAGCATCTTGGATGCCTTCACCAGTGTGTAGTAGAGGAAAGGAGCTGTCGGCGCACAAAGACAACATGATGCATGTATGCTTTATAGTACTACGGTACATTATTTGTTCTACCATTATAGAGTACTATCTGAAAGAGACTGCGTTTCCTTGTATAGTCCACCCGAATATACCTGGCTACATACATCCCAATGTTTTGAGAGAGACAGAGAGGGGGGAGGCCGTGGACGTCAGCTTGCGGCGTGCTGGACGAAGGTTCCGATGGCTCTGCCTCCGTCCGCCGGGGGAAGTCGGGAAGTCGCAGGTCATCGAAGACCCAACAAAGAGCGAGGCACCTTGTTACGTTCGTAGCGTCCTTTGCACCTTGTTACGTTCGTAGTGTTGCTAGTAGTAAGGCCAGGAGCTTCTTCTAGTAGCATCTTTGAGTAGTAGCAAGGACTCTTTTCGCTTCGAAGAAGGCCACCGCCTTAAGGGCGCAAAACTTCTAGTTCCAGCCACAACGGGTGACCCAACTTCGGAAGTTGCGCTTGGACTCGTGAGCAGACTCTGCGCGAAGGCATTTGCCAAGACTCCGAGCTCTATTGCATCAATCCCACGGAGCAAGGCTTCGGCCAGTCTCTCGGGGTACGGCTCCTCAGGATCGAGCACGTCGTGCACAGGGGGCCCGTCTCGTGCGCCGAACGCGGCCACGCATATCCTCATGGCGCAAGGCAGAGGTTTTTCTGAGTGCAACGATTTGGGAATACCATACACCCCCCCCACACGCAGTTTGACTCCCTAGTGAAAGAAGGTTGCAGATACAGTTTGGTGCTGATGTCGAGTCAAATCCATCTTGCTTTCTTGTGGTTCAAGAGTGTGTCTAAGGACCAAGCCAGGGCAAAGACCTTCAAGAACTTTATCGAACAGCGGTGGCCCGGATCAGATGCAGGTGGAGGGATATACTTTATGATACACTTTGGGTCTGTCCTATTACCTGTAAATTTTGGTAACCAATTATCGCTGTTGAACAAGGCCTGCAACTGAACCATCCACTGGGCCTGTGTTTGGGTGTCTGACATACTCAACAAGCATCACGAAGCCTCATCGATCAGACAGAACCACCAGAGCACGTGTGTGGAGAACGACCACAGTTTCCAACACTTAACTACCTTCATTCGATTCGTCCGGTTCCTTTCTGTACAGCTCCGCATGATCAGCTCTGTGTACCTGCGTAAGAATTGTCAATCTCCTCTAAGTCGATGATGTAAACCATATTGTTTCTGACCCAGCCACCTTTCCGTTGTGCATATGGCCAATGACAGGTTCAGGTATCAGCGCTCTAAACCGGTATTGTAATAACTAGAGTGAACAGCCAAAACTGATATAGCTCTTGCGAGCATGGATCTATGTGTGTGTGTGTTTCCCTTTGTCTAGTTCTATGACACTACACTATCTGCGTATTGTACCGTATTGTAATGATATGGTGCATGCACCGATTAGATGACAACGATTCGGACGTTTTATCTCTCAGGGTCTATGGATGGGCATGATGGGCTCCATTGGGATGGTGGATTATTGCGGGATCGGCGGGCGGTCTAACACGAAGAAGAGGGGTTTGTAGTGTGAAAGGAGAGAAGTGTGTCACAGAAATCCGCTGCTCTGTTCATAAGTGAAGAGAAAAGAGACAGGCAAGGCACAAGGAGTCAACAGCAAAGGAACAGGAAGTAAGGCAACAAAAAACAGACAATGAGTTAATGTTGCTGTTAAGAAGTTCTTTTTTTGGAAACATGACACCACACTATGCCCTTTTTAAACGCTAAACAAATATATATATATATATACAGTATATGTTATGATTCAGTTTCAGGGAACGGATGTGCCGTGTCAGGGTGTCACGTTTGATGTATGGTGGGCATCACGCAACCAAAAGCTATAGCGTGTGAGAATCATCAAATACACGTTTCGACTCGGGGTCAGACATGGGTTTAGTTTCATCTTGGGCACTCCTGCACCACCCAAAATGTTTAGACTCATTGAAGCCACAAGATCACAAGGTGTTGTTATTTGTCCTACCAGACTCAGGCACTTGACGATATATATATATACAGTATATCGTGGGATAGAATGGGCTAGACACGGACCATAAATCACTGGTACCAATCGCACGTGCGATCAAATCATAGTTGGAAAGCTTGAGGTACATTTTGTTGTTAATAGTCAGAGTCACCACGCAACAAACAAAAATGTGTGTGTGTGTGTGTGTTGTTGTTGTTGTTGTTGTTGTTGTTGTTGTTGTTGTTGTTGTTG